CTTCATAGAGGACATTTAGGTGTCGAGAAAACGAAGTTCTTGGCGAGGCTCACGTGTTGGTGGCCAGACATAAATGCAGATATTTGTCGTACAGCAAACAATTGTGAAAAGTGTCATAAGCTGAAAAATCAACATTCGAAGTGAACTTTATGGCTAGTATCGTCTGAGGCCTGGCAGAGAATTCATGCAGACTATTGTGGTCCATTTCTTGGCAAATACTATGCACTTGTAGTTATTGATTCTTTTTCAAAGTGGCCTGAAGTTTTTTTCACAACTTCACCAAATTCTGACTCCACAATTCAAGCATTAAGAAAGGTGTTTAGTCGAGAGGGGGTTCCAATGGTGTTAGTGACTGACAACGGCTCTCATTTTGCTGCAGATGCAGTCACTGACTGGTTAAATGGTATAGAGTGCAAACATCTGCTTACTGCTCCCAGACATCCTTGTCCCAATGATCAGGCAGAAAATTTTGTCAGGACGTTGAAAACTGCCACTGATTCTATTGCCACCTCAACATTTAATGAGCAGGAGAGGGGAATAGATACCTTTCTACTGCAATATAGAAATACCAGACACTCTGTGACGAAAGAGACTCCATCAAAGCTTTTAAAAGGAAGAATTCTTCGGTCGAATATGCGATGTTTGGAGTCTTTAGAAGTTACATATTATCGTGGAAATGAACTTCAACCATCCACGGGGATCATGCTTAAGAATGTCGGAAATCTATGATGCGACTTCTAGATATCAATGATTTAAGTACACACAATCGACATATTGATCAAATACAATTCCAGGAACCAGGTGAGTCTGTTCCAATTTTGCTTGTTGATTCTAATACTAATGAGTGCATCTTCGATAATACAGAGTCTTTATCCAATAAACTGTCGGACAGACACAGGATGAACTTGAGAAGAAGACGTACAATTGATAACAGACACTTAGACTCCAATTTTAGCTGTGGTGGATGTCGTGTTTGAATGAACTAATGATTCCTTTGCACTTGTTGAATGCTTGATTTCGAATTTCAAATACAGTACATTCATTAGTGCCTGTCTAGTACTTCTTAGTTCAACTGCGTTGTTTGTGAGATTCTTAGTTCATACTATAATTCAAATACTTCTAATTATCATATTGGTCCATCCTATTAAGTCGCTTAATAGTTAGGTCCTTCCATTATGAAATAAGTTTTTTAGTTATACCTAAGTATGTCAGATGTATTGGTTCCGACGGGAAACATTTTATCATATCCAGTGGCAAAGTTTCAAATGAACCTCCACCGCGATGATAGATAGATTGGTACCTACAACATCATTCCTCAATTCGTGTTAACCGTTGGGGAACGTCATTCGACCACCCATTCGTATCCCTGAAACATGACATTTGTCACAGTCAGCAGTACCGTTGTGTCCAACAGCATACCTGACGTTATTGCTAGCTGGAGTGTCACAAATAACAGCGACTAATTTAACTGTGAAATGTACCTGATACTTATCTACACTTATACCTACTGTCAGCAACTCTTGCAACTCAGCTATAAGTGCTGCTGACATGTAGTTGAAATCAGATGGTTTCACTTCACCACCATACATCCCAACTATGAATACATTACTAACTACTGGACCTAGTAACAGCCACAGCTGTTGGTTAGAGCTTCTGAACAAGCTTAGGCCATCGTAGTTCAACTGCAGCTTCATTTCTGTAAAACGGATTTTACGTAGCTAGGTTTCGGAAATCCTCAGCAGACTTGAATTTAATCCCAAATGATAGTAAATCCCCGTTCCCAGAATTTTAGGCTCCACGTCGTTGCATCGACGTACAACACTTCGGGCTAATGTTGGGAGTTCAGCAATGCGCACGCAAAAGAGGTCTAGAATTTCGTCAGCTTTCTTCACGGTTATATCACCCCCTTTCATCATCCCAATGACAATTCGGTTGACCTGTCCTTTCGTTGAAAGATGACTGGGTGGAGACATTTCTGAAATAACACCACCTATACATCATTAATTAATCAAGCTACACTACCATCGGCTGTACTGCCAGAACACTGGACATAACTACGTAGAGCTGTGACTGTTTCTGAGACGATAATGTTACACTGCTCTGTAGCTACCGTTGTACCTACTTCTTTGACGACAACAGAATTGTCGTTCTCTTCGTCACTGCTGGTTAACTGATAATTTCTTATGAATTCATCTCTCAACTTCCGCAACCTTCAGTAATAAGTTGATCTGAAACAGCCCAGCAACCTCAAGTCTCTTGCGGCTTGAGCCCTTCTTTTAGCAATATTATCAAGCTGTGAATTATTTTCCTGAAAAAGACAACTTAAGTGAGACTGAAGAACTACAGTAATAGAAGATTCGTATAATGCTAAGAACTTATCTGCATGGCGTTCGAATTTTGAAAAAGTAGTTTAGAGACGACAACTCATTGTCTCATGTCTGTTTGACGTAATAAATCGAGACCTGAAAGTCCATTGACTAACCCTGACCAAAAGTTCTTATTGTATCAAAATTAACAAATGTCCATTGTAATTTAATGTTTTAACGTTTAATAATCGAATGCATATGAAATGTTACTGTGGAATGATGCGCTACGCATGATTTGGGAATTTTCCCCAAAGACTAAAGATTTCCCCAAATTTGGGAGCTTGGGACGGTATGTGGTTTACATGTAAACTGAAAGTCCGCCGAGATAAGTAGTTTAAAAGATTATTACCGTCTAAGATTATTATGTTGCTTTATGAACAAATATATGAAACAGCTTTTTGGGTAAAAAATACTGTCAAAAAACTATAACACACTCACAGAATTGGACAGGTAATTTCGGAAATTAAACAAGTTATAGTATACAAATACGATTTAAATGATAGTTCATAAAATAGTGAGTACAGTGTTTTATCATACACGATTATATATATTTCTTGATATTAGGAGGAGGTCTGAATAGATTCCGTAAGTACATAAAGTACGTGAGTTATAGCATCCAAACACGATATAATTATATGTTCCTTAAGGAATAGAATACAGATATGAAATGCAATTCTTTGTCGAATATGATTATATATGGTTTTAAAAATAACAGAGCGCGGTTTGATCGTATAGCCAAAATGAATATATATGTAATTAAATGATTATGAATTATTGTGTGAATACGATCATAAATGCCATGAATAAATTAAACTCAGATCTTATCAAATAGCATGAAATTCACAGTTTATATGTTAATAGTTCAGAATTGAATTATCTTCAATATTTCCAAGAAAAAATAATCCATCCAGCTCTGTGAGAGTCCTAGAAAAAGAAAACTGAAGGCCTTGGCCTAAAGATAACTTCCTGTTCGTATCGCACGCGATTCCTTAACTGTCGAGAATGGTTTCTGCTCGGTATCGTCCAGACTAATGGGATTCGCATTTCCAAGAAGTTGGTCGGTTAGTGGTTTCATAACTGACGCGCATTTTGGTATGAACCGTCTATAGAAACTTACAAGGTCGTTAAATGTGTGCAATCGCCTAATGGTTGTCGGTTCTGGGTGATCCAGAATAGCCGCCACTTTGCTTCTAAGAGGTCAGATGCATTGCCTATCGATTGTGTGTCATAGGATGTCTAAGGAGTCAGTTCTGATTTGGCATTTCTGTATGTCTACAGTAATGCCATGTCTTTGTAGTCGGTCGAAAACAAGATGCAGATGCTGGAGGTGCGATTAACTGTCCGAACTTGCGATTAGGCAGTCATCAACATACGCATGTTCGAAGTTGAGACCTCGAAAAACGTCATCTTTGAACCTTTGGAAAGTTTGGGCAGCGTTTCTTAGACCGAAAGGTATTCGCGAAAACTCGTCGAGTCCGAAGTGAGTTATGACAGCGGTTTTCGGAGTATCGTCAGTAGCCATAGGGATTTGGTTATACGCTTTAATTAACTCGATTTTCGAAAAGACAGTTGTGCCTTTCAAGGTAGCTGTCAAATCGTGAATGTGAGGCAACGGGTAAGGATCGGGTGTTACCTTAGTTATATAGCCCTTTGTACTTGAAGATACAACAGGTACTTGGAGTTTGATAATGCCTTAACCAGTAACACCTAATATGAATGGTACCCGCCATGTGAAATCAAAAGACAGAAGCGAGGAGGTCGAAGATATATTTGATAGGCTATCAATATACCGAGGATCATCTGGTCTAATCTGGCTAGCGATTGCATGGAATGTCGAGTACGGCGTTCCCACTCGTGATCTGGAGCGGCTGCATGATCGAGCGCCTTCAGCTAGGCGAATTCGTTAAAACTAATATGGTCAGCATCCAATGTCGAAGATTTACAGAGCTATATATTTTGGGGATATTTTTCCGCTGAAAGATCAATACAGTTTTTCTCCTACAGTCAGATTATGAGCTCAATTATTCGACTCTTTTTATATTAGTGTATTGCTCACTCTATATATCGCATGTCACTAGGTTATTTTTGTCTGGCCATAAATAGTGAGTTACGCTATATCAGATGGAATGTATTTGCTTGCTTTCGCTTTGCTTTCCCGCTCCTCTTTATTAATGTTTACCTGAGTAAACGGTTATCTGAAACGAATTCATCCGGCTTCCTGCTGTTGCTGTCACACAAACAACGTCAGCTCAGGTGTAGTATACGAATTTAAATGATTGATTTATATTCGTGGAATATTGATACGTTCAGCCAAATCGGAGTCACTAAGACTTTTCTTTTGAATCACCAGTGCCTCAAACTCTCTACCTCAATACATGTCTGAGACTCTACCTGTACACGCGTTCAGAAGAGTTTCTATAATCTGAGAGCCCACCATCTGTAGAACAAATAGGTCATCTAGCATCCCGTCCCTCTTTAATTGAAAATGAACTGAAGCTAATGCAATAGTCACTGCAACTATAAAGATTGATGAACATACTCGGAATGAACCAGTAAACTATGATCTACTATATCGTATCAAGAAGGGCTAAGAAACAGATTGGTCGATTTCGGTTTACTACGTTGACATTGGATGCTGAAATGCACACTATTTGTTTGGTGCGTTGTAGTGCAGTCAAGACCTTGCGTCGTCAATTTTGCTTTCATTTGGGATATTGCCTTAACCTTACACTTGTTTTACTTCTGATTGCTGTCGATTTCTCTCATTATAAAATGTGAGTGCATTCCAAGAGTTCGAGAAAAGTGTGTCTGAGCTGAACTGAGTTACTATTGCCACCAGTCATTATAAGGCCACACTAATAAGTTTTCAACTAAATTGCAAAATAAGTGTTCATCTGTCACAAGACACACAGTTGTAATTACAACTGTCCCCAGTTGCACAGTTAACTGTATGTCTTGTGACAGATAAACATTAATTTACAACTTAGTTGAAAACTTGCTTTTGGTCTATTAGTGTGGCCTTATAAGGACTAATAGCAATATTTCCAAGTCCTGAAACATGTCATGAGCTGAGTGCATAGTTATATTACACTCCTTTTCACTTACTACTAGCTTGCTTCTCCGGACTACTTGATCACGGGTTTCGGGAAACCATCCTAGGATTTTATTAGTTTAGACCTTAATCACCTTTGATTGAATTAATTCCTTTCTGATAATCACAATCGGACTACTGTCTTTTTGAACAGATGAGAATTTTAGTTTGAGTAAAGAGGGCTGGAGGTCTATGTTAGTTTTTTAGTGGTAGGCTTTTGTATATTTGTAGTCTTCTCTTAAATGAGTCTATTAAGAGTGCTTGCATCACTGATATGCTCTGTCAGTCAAACTCGGATGACCGTAACACGTCAACCATTTCTGTCAGTAGGTTCCAAACGTTGACTGCTCATTGTGAAAACTTCTATACTACTTGATCGTCAGTGACTGCGATCAGTTAGATGAAATGCCTTTGCCCCCAAATGCCCTGGTACGGCCGAGAGTGGGGAGAGTCCACTATCCCTCTCGAAATGCTCTCACATGGCCACGCGTATATAGCCTCTGCCAGGGAAGTCCTACTCACTGCCTTCTCGTGGCTGGGGTGTTGTTTACAAAAATGAGAGGACGAAAAGCGAATGTCCGGCGCTTTAACCGGACCCCAAACCAATGGTGCACATGGGCTCCAGTATCCTGAAGGAACAAATGGCGTATGAACCAATCGTTGGTCACTGGCTACCATGGGACTGCATCTCCTCACGATGCTCCACTGCCTTGTGGGTCAGACGTTCAGGTCGAAGGCTCGGGGTGTGGCCCCTTAAGAAAACCACCTGCTTCGGTTTGGGCACCCAGACAGTATCACAGCCCTCACACAAATCAATTGAGATTTGTGTGGCGCATATGTACTTGGTGCCTCCCTGTACCTATATTTATGTTAAAATAAATAAAAATAAATATAATAAGATGAAATGCCATCAAACTCCGAGACTAACACCCCAGTCAATTAACTTAAAATTAATCCTCTAAAACTCAGATTTCCCGAGGATAATCCATCTGGATATTGGCATCTGCTCTTTTTCGTCTTCGATTCCTCATATTTTACGTATTTTCACATGTTTCAAGCTTGAAATCGTCTATCAGTCAGTAACAACATAGAACTTCGTACGTACGTACGTCAGTTCAAGTTGCCATACTATATTAGCACCGAGATGCGGTTGTCCATTCAATCGCTCCCTTACTGTGTTAGTTGCTAGTTAGTAGGTAGCTATACTGCTGACTCCCAACGTTTCCTCAAATTGTATCACCATTTTGGTTAGTTCAAGGGGAATCACCTCCCAATGTTTTTACGGCATTTGCTGACTAAAAGTTTTCAATTCCAACCATCTGAGTTCCTGTCCTCTTTGGAAAGGTCTCATAGCTAACGAGTTGTGTATCAGTTACAGGAGTGTTTGTTACTGTTAAAATTTGTTCAATGATCTCGGACTGAAAAGCTTGCTGGTTACAACTACATATACACAAAATAAAGTGGAGATGAGTCTTCTGGCATTAGTGTTCCGGTTTTATGTAAAAGTTCTTATAATACTTTTTAGCTATATCCACTCATTTAATGGCGTTAAATAGTGTTCGTTTCATTATGATATGACTTTTGCTCATATTTTAGTTTCATTTATCTTACTAAGGAGACTAATCATGAGTTTTCGTTCTGTCAACAGATCCTAGTTTACTATAGTGCTACTTGAATACCAGATTACTTGGATTGTTGCCCCAGAACTTAAAGCATACTTTTAATTTTATCCGTTTCAGAGAAGCCATCGATAATGGGGAAGTCTTCACGTGATAAACGTGATATTTACTATAGATTAGCTAAAGAAGAGGGTTGGAGAGCACGTAGTGCCTATAAGCTGCTACAGATTGATGATGAGTATGGAATTTTTTCTTCTGGTAAGTGTGTGGTGGCTTAGATTTATAGGCAAAATGAAATATACCACTCGAGTTATATTAAATTTTTTTTATAGAAGTCCACCGATTGATAAACAAACTGATTGAAGTCATGGGAGAATCCGTTCTTATTATTCTTATGAAGCGATAGTGTGGGTACTGGCGTTATTCACTTGTGAACCTCATTAAGCAACCTAAGGGATAACTTCTAAGTAGCTCTAACATGACTGTTTTGTAAATAGTTGTTCCGACTTTCTTAGGGTTAGTCCACGTGTTTCAAATTACACTGTTAGAAATTATTATTTATTTATTTTAACACGTAAGTATAGGTACAGGGAGGCACCAAGTACATATGCGCCACACGAATCTGAATTGATTTGTGTGAGGGCTGTGATACTGTCCGGGTGCCCAAACCGAAGCAGGTGGTTTTCTTAAGGGGCCACACCCCGAGCCTTCGACCTGAACGTCTGACCCACAAGGCAGTGGAGCATCGTGAGGAGATGCAGTCCCATGGTAGCCAGTGACCAACGATTGGTTCATACTCCATTTGTTCCTTCAGGATACTGGAGCCCATGTGCACCATTGGTTTGGGGTCCGGTTAAAGCGCCGGACATTCGCTTTTCGTCCTCTCATTTTTGTAAACAACACCCCAGCCACGAGAAGGCAGTGAGTAGGACTTCCCTGGCAGAGGCTATATACGCGTGGCCATGTGAGAGCATTTCGAGAGGGATAGTGGATTCTCCCCACTCTCGGCCATACCAGGGCATTTGGGGGTACACTGTAAGAAAGGAGAATTATCGTGCTTATTTCACTAGCAACCTATTTCAACTCGGCTAATTATTTGTAAGCGGTGTCGACGGTTGTCTGGGAAAATCTGTTCCTACCACACTTTGAATAGGGCCAGTAGCCAGAATTCTTTTCTTGGACCTGAAATTCACTCCTTTCCGTTAGCCCACTTTCCAGAGGATTTGTCTACTAGCAAAATGAAAAGAGACAAGTGAAGTAGGCAATATAACTCAATTGTTTCGTCATAGTAAACAATTGTGACCACTGCGACAAAGTAGATGCCACGGTGTCCAGTCATTAATGGCAATGTAAGCTAGTAAGGCACATAAGTTTGAGACTGGTTGTCATAGATTTTTCTGTACTATTCCGACGGCTCGTCAGCTAAATATTAGTTTCCGTTCTTAGCTAATGAATAGTGAAATCTACCATTAGTTTAAGGTTTTCGTTGAAAAATCCACTTTGACCCTCATATCATCATAGCATTTGACTGACTAGAACATAGTTAAATTTGATACAGTATTCTACTAGTGCAATCTCAGAGCTTGCAAAGTTATAGATGGAAAGCGGTCGTACCATTAAGTGTCATGTCGATTGAAATAATCAAATGCTTTTAATGAATTCTGCACATCGTGGTGGTTTCAGATAGTCTTAGCGGCTACAACTCAAGAATATGGTGTATTTACTTGAGATTTTGTCAACTAATAATAATAGTTTTTTACATTTCCGTTTGTAAGTCGGGAACTTCTCCGAACTAAAGATCAGAGATCCGATTGCCATTTATTTTGCTTCCTCACTTTTATAGAAAATGCTCCTTTAGAACGAGTGGTTGATTTGTGTGCTGCACCTGGTAGCTGGTCACAAGTATTATCAAAACGTTTATGGGAATCGAAATCCCCAGAGGATAAAAAATCTGTACTGCATACGTTTTGAGATTTCATTATTGATATTTCTTAATGAAGGTAAAAATCGTTGCCGTGGATCTACAGGCTATGGCCCCAATACCAGGAGTTATTCAAATTCAAGGCGATATTACTAGTCAGGATACGGCTCAACAGATTATCAAACATTTTGACGGCAAGTTAGCTCAACTTGTTGTTTGTGATGGTGCTCCAGATGGTAAGTGAATTTGAGCTTTTCATGTTAATAGTTTCCTATTTATAAATGCATTGTGTAGGTTATGACTTCTGTCCGTTTAAGCTTTTGGTATAAATATATGCCACTTTGTATTAGTTTTATTTTATTGACTCTTTGTGTTCTACTACCAATTTTTATTGAGTAATGTTCTTTAATCTTAAAATTCTTACTCCACGTATTAACGATCTTGCTAATATTTTTATTATTTTTGTAGTGACAGGTCTACATGATTTGGATGAATATGTTCAGTCGCATCTTATCTTAGCTGCTGTAACTATCTGTTCAAGAGTTCTTGAGCTTGGTGGTACATTTGTTGCTAAGGTTTTTCGTGGACGAGATTCTGGTTTATTAGGTTCCCAACTCCGATGTTTATTTTCGGGTGAAGTTAGTTTTGCAAAACCAAGAGCTAGTCGGAACTCTAGTTTAGAGTCGTTTGTTGTATGTCGTGGATTTACGGGTCCTCGTTTACGGACAGATTTGAAACTATCCACACCTTGTGCGAATCACTCAAGCAACGATAATTTGCTATTATTATGGTACGACAAGGATAACTTTGAAGACGTATGTTAACATGTTATGCCTTCAATATTCAGTTTGTTATGCTAAATACCAAGAGAATATTTCGTTCTCATGTTCTGTTTATAGCTATGTGTATTTTTTTATCACATTTTTGAAGTTGGGTAGTGGTTGTGGTCAACCACTGATCATTCCTGTTTTCAAGTATGAGATTTTGAGGATTGATGTATAAAAATGTATGAAAATACTTCGTTATCCATGACTGCCGTAGGAATGATGAGCTTCAAATAATTTGTTACAAGTCAAATAGCAAAACGTTATTTAAACATCATTCTCTCAGCCTGTAAATCTAAATTTTTATCTTTATGTTGCATTAATTTCCCTATTGAATGACTAAGTAAATAATTGGTCACAAGAATAAGATGACCTTATTATTTTGGTTGATAGTCTCATTCAGAAATCGAATATAGAGTTAAGTCATAGTGACTTCCGGACATTTTTGTTTGTTTGTTAGGTTAATTCTTCTCAACAAGCTCTATTACCATTCATTGCGTGTGGAGATCTAAGAGGTTTCGACCCAGATGTCACGTATACTTTAGATCCTGATCATATAGTCAAGCCACCAGTACAAGTTCCTGTAGATCCTGTTTATTCCGAAGTTTGCCGATTCAGTCGCTTAAATCAACCAAATACTTCAAAATCTCAATCTTTGGAAAAGAATAATGAAATTGATAATAATGATGATATTTCTAGATTTACAGAACTTATGGAAAAGTTGTCTTTCGATCCAAGAGAAGATCATTTATGATGTTTGCTTTTTATGGACAAAACTATTTTATTCTATGAACAAATAAATATGATACATGTATCCTCTAATTTCTTTCCTCTGGTAGTGTTATATGTTGTGATTGTTGTTTATTATTTCTGAAATATTCCCATTATATTAAAACACAATTGTATGAACGAAGAATATTCTTTTCAATAATTTCTCATCAGGTTCTACAATTATAAATCCAAATTAATAATCCATAGAATTGGCCAGATTTAAGGCAGAGTACATCATTTGGAATTTGTGATATGTAAATCAAGAATTGTTATTTGTTATATAAAATCAAATCAGATTGTTAATGTTGAAGCTAGCTGACTAATATAAAGTGTTAACTTGAATCAGTTTATAAGTGAAATGAAATTGTGCGATAAATAATCAGAATAAATATGGTCAACATGGGGTGAGAGAAAAAATTTATGGGATAAAAACCGGAAATTACATAATATGTGAATTAGGTCAGATATAGTAGATTTAGGGGTGGATATTGAATAAATTCCTCAAAACGGTTATCAAATGTAGTGTAATTTCCGGTTTTTATCCCATAAATTTTTTCTCTCACCCCATGTTGACCATATTTATTCTGATTATTTATCGCACAATTTCATTTCACTTATAAACTGATTCAAGTTAACACTTTATATTAGTCAGCTAGCTTCAACATTAACAATCTGATTTGATTTTATATAACAAATAACAATTCTTGATTTACATATCACAAATTCCAAATGATGTACTCTGCCTTAAATCTGGCCAATTCTATGGATTATTAATTTGGATTTATAATTGTAGAACCTGATGAGAAATTATTGAAAAGAATATTCTTCGTTCATACAATTGTGTTTATTATTTCACCAATAATTAACAAACTATTAATTTAATTCGTTAACTAAACATTGATTTACCAAGCTTTGAACTACACGTTTTGTTTGCAGGTAGGGGGAAATACCTGACTTTCCAAACCTAGGTAAATAAAGATTTATTGCGATCTGTGGCGTAATGGTTGAAATTTGATTGACGAAATCATTCAACCGTATTACTATGAATATATCTATTCAACAAATGTATAGGATAGTTGTATAAGGGTTTCACATTAGAGGATAATTCCCCAACATTATTATTCACCGGGAACTGATTTCAGTTAAACTACTATGAAAATCAGGAAGCACATATAGACTCGTTTCTGGTTAAAACTTCTGACCAGTCCTTAATACTTGGAACCACCTAGTATCTGTGCGAATGCAATATTCAGTGATCCAAATTTATTTCTGAAATCAATCCCATCAGTAAGTTTTTCCCACCGGATTTGATTAATTTCACACATCATAGCACCTCTCTAGAATTCCACAGGATTCATATCGAAACTACTTATGAATGAGTGACCAAATGACTGTTTGTTATTACTTAATGTTTGTGGAAACGAGCAGATTCCCATCATGGTTTAGATTAATTTTCTGTAGCTGACATCGATTCCCGATAAAACGTGTTATTTTGATTCTTACCGTGAGAATAGGTTTTCATTTTAATCTGATTTTAGGAATTAGAATACTCACGATTATTTTGTTTTCATTAGTTTCGATGTGATGAGATCTAATGAGATTTCGCAAAACGGATGATCTGTGACTAACAGGATACGGCAAACTGGTTTCTTCCCGTTTCTGACTCGGTTGAATGTGTCTGCATATTAGTGTTGATATTCACATTAAGACTCAATACCCAGTACCTTTTCACTTCAAACATGATCGCGTTATTCACTGAGCTACTGAATCCGGGTAGACACTGATTTGTTCAATGGATATGGTACTTAAAACGTTATTAATAAAGGTTCCGGTTATTTCTTTGTTGGCTATCTAGAATCGTTCAAGCATCGGTTTATTCCTTGAACTGTGCTTCAATTCGATCTTATTTACATTCAAAGAAGGACTGTAGATGAAAACAAAGTGGACCTGAGTCCCACCTATGTTCCTGATTGTTGCTTACTTATTCATGTTCCATATAGAATCACATTTTTATCCACTTTCGGAAATGAAAACGAACTCAGTGAGGTGTCATTGTTAGACTGCTTACTCAAAGGAAGTTCAAATGAAATTCTGGATGTAGTCATTTGTCGTAAACCGACACGTTCTAATCAGTATGTCGAGTTCAATATCACATATTATTTAGTGGAGGAATTTTCAGGGCTTTAAATTCATTCAGAAGAATTACCAAAACTTTTAGATCAGAAGACGAATACAATCACGATCTTGGAGCTCAGTAACTTTCCTATGAATGCTTTTAAAACGGAGTGATTTGTTTAAAAATAAATCTAGTTTTGCCTTACTCTACAGTAGGATAGAATTGCAACGACTCTCAAAATTACGACTAGTGGAAGCTTATAAATGAGCCAACATTCTTCTGAATGCTTTAGTCCAAATAAAGGAAAAGAACTCTTTCACCACAACACACAATTGTGTCTACGGATTAAGTTGCGTTGATACCTCCTGATACCCGTATAGAGGAGTGCCCTCATTAAATTTTAAAACATCTAATCTACACGAAAAGATCTAATGAAACTGTAGAATTGGAAAATTTGCGGATCGACTCAGTAATATAGCAGTGCGTCTTATTTTCAACAATTATCAAATCGATACTGAAATGCATCAAAATAAGTCGGAAGTATTTTTCTGACTATCATGAAAGACGAGTGTCTGAAGCCTTTTAAATATTATTGAACCCTACTGTGCTCAGTAGATTGGAAGTTCTAACTATCTGAGCAACCACATTTAGTTCTATTGAGATCACTGTGCTAGGCTTTAAGTTATTGTCTATCTATCCTCTCACACCACTAACATACACAGATACATAGTACGTCTCACAGAATCACCTTGACCGAAATGACATGACATCAACATGTTCAGAAGTGTTTGGATTGTACGAAATATTCTTTATTTATTCTATGCCATGTAAGATATGGTTGTTTATATATTCTCTGTGGGTAGCAACTTGGGAGTTTCGATTTTCTACTGATTGGGACGTTACAAATATGTGACTATTTCTATATGATGAGTGAATCAGAGTTCAAAATTCTGATAATAATCTATTTAAACGTACGAACACTATTAATGGAAGTAGTGCAACTAACTTTCATACTTAATGCAGAATTCGTAAATCTAGTCTAATGCACGCAAGTCTATATCTAGCTGTGTTCATCACACACTTTTCTTCATCTCAATATTCTGTGTGCTTCATATTTTACAGGATTGTTAATGACAATGATGATGCATAATTCATACAAGTCATCATTTCAGTCCAAAACATTTCTTGACAACTATCCAGAATTGCAAACATATCAAGCAACTTCGGAAGAAAAATGCAAGACTATCATCATTTCAATATTCTATTTGTTGATTACAATTCTGGTTGGAGTACCTTTATGGTGGAAAACTACTACACCATATCATGCTTCATTGCCTTATAATGAAATTCAAATATTAAGCTCACGTAGAATTGAGATAACTGTACCAGTAAGTATCATCTGTTTGCTTGTGTATGTGTTTAGCAAATTTCATGTGGTGAATTGAGTCAGATGCGTTTATTAAGGTTTTTTATAACTTGTTGATGTTTTTAAAGTGAAGTAACATTGTTTAGCGATTATTTATTTATTTAAGATAAATGGGACTCTGAAAAGTTTAATTTCCGTCCAATTTATTTACAAAGTATAGATGTGCGTACCTGACTTTGTGGTTGCAGTAGTTATATTGAGGGCATGATATATATATATATATATATATATATATATATATATATATATATATATATATAACACCCGGTTGAATAAACGGGGATGAGAATTGTAGCACACGATACGTTGGTTGAAAGACGAATACTCCAGGTGATGGGCTACCTACTCTACATTGGTAATTATGTAAAACAATAGTCGGAAGAGTTAATTTTTGACCATTAAAGCCTAGGTATTCAAAACTCATTTCAATTCGATTTAGTTTCAAGATACCTGGGACAGTATTTCGTAAACTCGGATCATGAGCAGTGGTGGCACATATGGGAGAAGTCAAAGGCAGATGACATGATTGGTCTTGGAAACAGGAAGGTAGGATTTAGTCGTGGTGTTCTCATGTCCGGGTTGGTGGACACGGAGAGTCCACCTAAGGGAGTTGGCAAACCCTGATTCCAAACCAACGGTGCACATGGTCTTCAGGATCCTGAAGGAACAAATGGCATATGAACCAATCACTGGTCACTGGCTACCATGGGACTGCATCTTCTGATGTTGCTCCACTGCCTTGTGGATCAGATCTTTAGGTCGACAGCTTCTGTTGTGGTCCTCTAAGAAGATCACTTGCTTCGGTCTGGGCTCCCGGGCAGTATTACAGTCCACGCACAAATTGATATTATTGATATTATTATAATCTTTATTCAACATTATATTTTCGGTACAATATTGAATTCTCAGCATAAAGTATTTCAACAAGTTTCCTTTTCTTATATCTTGATCGATCCTGACAATAAATATTGAGTGATGGCCAGTTAGATGTTAGGAGTTCGATAATCGACATCTGAATAATGTTCATTCGTTTCAATGCACATTGCAAACCACCATGATGTCGCTTACTTACTTACTTACGCCTGTTGCTCCTCGTGAAGGAGCATAGGCCGCTCACCAGCATTCTCCATCCAACCCTGTCCTGGGCAATCCTTTCAAGCTCTTTCCAGTTCTTATTCATCTTTTTCATATCTGCTTCTATTTCCCGACGTAATGTGTTCTTTGGCCTTCCTCTTTCCCGCTTCCCTTCAGGATTCCAAGTTAGCGCTTGTCTCGTAATGCAGTTTGATGATTTCCTCAATGTATGTCCTATCCATTTCCATCGTCTTTTCCTAATTTCCTCTTCAGCTGGAAGCTGGTTGGTTCTCTCCCACAAAAGGCTGTTGCTGATGGTATCCGGCCAATGGATGTTGAGTATCATGCGTAGACAGCTATTAATAAATACCTGTACCTTCTTGATGGTGGTTGTTGTAGTTCTCCAAGTTTCAGCTCCGTACAGTAGAACTGCCTTGGCGTTCGTATTGAAGATTCTGACTTTGATATTGGTTGAAAGTTGTTTTGAGTTCCATATGTTCTTCAGTTGAAGGAATGCCGCTCTAGCTTTGCCAATCCTCGCCTTGACGTCTGCATCTGAACCTCCTTGTTTATCGACGATGCTTCCCAGGTATGTGAAGGATTCCACGTCTTCCAGAGTTTCGCCATCAAGAGTGATTGGATTGCTGTTCTCCGTGTTGTGTTTGAGGACCTTGGTTTTCCCTTTGTGTATTTTGAGGCCTACTGATGCAGAGACTGCTGGTACTCTGGCTGTCTTTATCTGCATTTGTTCGTGTGTATGTGATAGGAGGGCCAGGTCATCTGCGAAGTTCAAGTAGTCTAATTGGTTCTGAGCTGTCCATCGTATGCCGTGGTTTCCCTCAGATTTCGAGGTCTTCATAATCCAGTCGACCACCAGGAGAAACAGGAAGGGAGAGAGTAGACAGCATTGTCTAACTCCGGTTCTTACTTGGAATGCGTCTGTCAGCTGTCCTCCATGCACTACTTTGCACTGTAGTCCGTCGTATGAGTTCCGGATAATGTTGACAATCTTCTCAGGAACTCCGTAGTGTCGAAGAAGTTTCCATAACGTCCTCCTATCTACACTGTCAAATGTCTTCTTATAATCAATGAAGTTGATACACAGTGACGAGTTCCACTTAAGTGATTGTTCGGCGATGATCAGTAATGTCGCAATCTGGTCTGTGCACGACCGGTCCTACGGAGTCCAGCTTGTTGATCTCGAAGTTGAGCGTCTACTGAGTCTTTCATCCGGTCCAGCAACACTCTGTTAAAGACTTTCTCTATTACTGACAGTAGTGTGATGCCTCTGTAGTTTTCACACTTTCTCAGATCTCCTTTCTTTGAAATCTTGATGAGGTGTCCTTCTTTCCAGTCCATCGGCACCTGTTCCTGCTCCCAAATCTTCTTAAATAGAAGATGAAGCATGTTCGTAGTTACTTCGATGTCTGACTTCATTGCTTCAGCTGGTATATTGTCGGGTCCTGCTGCTTTCCCGCTCTTGATTTGTCTGATGGCCGTTCTGATTTGTTCGGTCGTTGGTGGATTGACATCTATAGGAAGATCTGTGTGTGCTGCTTCGATGTCCGGTGGATTTATTGGAGCCGGTCTATTCAGGAGTTCCTCGAAGTACTCTGCCCATCTGTTCCGCTGTTGTTGAATCTCAGTGATTGGCCTGCCTTCTTTGTCTTTGAACGGTCTCTCTGATTTACTATATTTCCCTGCTAGTTTCTTCGTTGTATCGTGAAGCTGTTTCATATTTCCTTCTCTTGCATCTTTCTCCGCCGTCGTTGCTAGTTCTCCCACGTATTTCTGCTTGTCGGCTCTAATGCTCTTCTTCACTTGCTTGTTTGCTTCTATGTACTCAGCTTGTGTTTGGAATTTCTCTGCTCTTGTTCGGCTGTTATTTATTGCTGTCTTCTTGTTCTTTCTTTCTTTGATCCTGTCTAGTGTTTCTATAGAGATCCATTCCTTGTGATGATGTTTCTTGGGGCCCAGAACCTCTTGACACATTGAAGTTAATGTTTCTTTGATACCTTTCCAGCTATCCTCCATAGTAGTTTCTTCTTCCTTCAGTAGATCCTGTAAGGCTTGGAACCTGTTGTTGAGAGCTACCTTGAATTCATTGAGTTTGTCAGTATCTCGAAGGAAGGCTGTATTGAACCTTTGTGGTGCTGTTTTTCCAGTTGTCCAGTTCTTCTTTAGCTTCAGTTTCAATTTGGCCACAACCAGGTGATGATCTGAAGCTATGTCCGCTCCTCTCCTGGTTTTCACATCTTCCATTGTCCTTCGGAACTTTTTATAGATGCAAATGTGATCTATCTGGTTCTCTGTGGTGTGGTCCGGTGAGATCCACGTAGCTTTGTGTATATGTTTGTGTGGAAATGTTGTACCGCCTATGACCAATTTATTGAATGCACACAGATTTGCAAATCTTTCCCCGTTTTCGTTTCTCTCTCCCAGTCCATGTAGTTCCATGATGTCTTCATATCCGGTGTTGTCCATTCCGACTTTGGCGTTTAGATCTCCCATCAGAATGGTGAGGTCCTTTCTTGGGCACTTCTCTATGATTGATTGCAGCCTCTCATAGAATTGATCTTTAACGTCGTCGTTGCTATCATTGGCGGGTGCATAACATTGGATAATGTTCATTGTGATCCCCTCCTTCTTTGTTTTGAATGATGCTTTGGTGATTCTGGATCCGTGAGATTCCCATCCTACAAGTGCATTTCGTGCTACTTTGGATAGCATTAGAGCAACTCCCTGAGTGTGTGGGGCATTTTCCTCTTCGTGACCGGAGTATAGCAGCATCTCTCCCATATTTAGCCTTTGTTGTCCAGCTTGGGTCCAATGGGTTTCACTGATTCCCAGTACTGCCAAGTTGTATCTCCTCATTTCCGTTGCTATTTGACTGGTCTTCTGGGTTTCCCACATTGTCCGGACGTTCTATGTACCTATAAAAATTGTTGCTCTGGTTGTTAGAAGGGGTATCGGCGTCGTGGCTTCCGAAGGAACTCGGCTTTCACCATGAAGCGTCATATTACCTCTAACTCCCAGGGTAGAGTTTAAATGGTTTGAGTTATTTTTTCTGGTTAGCTTTTTTTAGCGAGTTAGGTTTCTACGGGATGGGTACGCTAACCCCATGCCCAACCCTCCTCCTTTACCCGGGCTTGGGACCGGCAGTAACTCTGGAAGAGCTACAGGCGGAGTTATGATGTCGCTGGTTGTACCTTTTTGTAATCCGTACAGCGAAAGATTGTAAACTTTTCATAAACGCGCCTGAATAGGTTGTGAGCTCAATAGACATAATAGTGTGTTAAAACAAACAAGAAAACAGATAACTTGACGAAATATGTAGATGGGAGGAACAGGTAGCCCAGATATTCAAGCAGGCCGCCGATACTTAATTGGACTTGTGTGGCGCATATGTATCTGGTGCCCCTGTGCACCAATATTTGTGTTCCAATAAATAATAAATAAATAAATCTCATGTCCAAATAGAGATATGAGTGATCTTGACTTCGGAGTTACCCACGTCGAAAACGGATACGTTTGGAGTTATGTGAAAAATAAACTGGATTAGGAGGGTGGTGTTGGTAACACTGGCTTATGATCATCAAGCCCAGATAATATTTGATTATGATCAGTCACACACGCCTCTTGCGAGTAGGTTTTTATTTGTTAACCCCGTAATTTTCAAACCTTGTCGCTGACGACGGAAATCGGTGTAGCACGGCATATGTTATTTGTAGAGGGGACTTATTCTAACACGCTCCTTCTGTTATGAGAAGATATCATCGCTGTAGGTGCTGGTTGCATCTGGAAAACACTACACTGTAGTTACAGATTTATGCACACGGGAGTACAACTTCGCTTCTGGACCCTAAGTTTTCTGCTTTTAGTTTTCAAACTCCAACCAAACTATCTGTTATGGTTTCAGCTAGTTTAGTTTTATTGAGTTATTTAAATATCAAATCCCAACCGCCACGTCAAGGTAGTACTAACAGTTTTGTCTATTTGACAATTTACTTGGTATCATGAACTCTCGCTTGTACAGGTAAGTGCAGAACCCATTAGTTTACATCGATTAATTCGTATTGTGTTATGATTACTTAGTGATAGTTGTTTCAGATAAGTTTTTCTATTTGATGCACTAAAAAGTTGACCCAAGACTAAATTTTATTATTTAAGATATCCCAATGAAAGCAGCCAGTTGTAATCAATCCACATGAACAAACTGTATGTGTTAATTATGCAGCCGGATGAATAAGAAGTAAATACAGAAGGAACGAATTGAGCGAAGAATTTTTAAAAATTCTGTTCCTTCTCTTTTTCATATATTATGCAACGTAGCAACTTCTTGATTTAATAATTACTTTGAATATTAATAATCATCTTTCTTCATTATTGTAAATCATATATATATATATATATATATATATATATATATATATATATATATATATATATATATATATATATATATATTAGTGTAGAGCCATGATGAAAAACTAATTAAAAAGAAATTTCTTCGCTCAATTCGTTCCTTCTGTATTTACCAAATGTCCAAATGGGAATAAGTAGTTATCAGTTGGTGGAAACAAACTGAATGATAACAAAACTCCTACCATTGATGTGGTTACAGTTAAACATGGTTTACCGAGGAAAAGACAATTTTAGTTAGACGGACGGATGAGGTGGAGGGTGAGATTGATAATTATATTACCACCTGTTCGTTAAACAAACACTGAATACATGCTGCATTTGTAATTCAATACCTATTCATCGTATCGATAAAGCAAAAACATAAGGGTCGTTATTGAAACTTGTGTTTTTATTGTTAACTGATCATTCCTTGAAAGTATCATTATTGTGTAGTTAGGCCATTTACCATATGGTGCTTTTGCTCATTTGCTTGATCCCGATTGAGGCTTACATATATGTATATTAGCATTAAGAAGAAGAATAGTATTTTGTTGCCACATGCAATGTGCCGAATGATTCAAGGACAGTTAAAAATATGGTAATCTTTATTGTTACAAGCTGTTGTAAATAGGTTATTGTTTGTTTACTTCTATTTTCTTACCTCCCATCAGATCAATGTGCTCAATTTTCATGCTGAACTTGATGATCGAAATCTATACCAAATCAGTGAAATATTTACCCGTTTTAATTTGGAACAGCAAGCATTTTCGGTGACAGATGGCTCTGATGAAATTTTAATGAATTATCATGTAAATACCAGACAAATGACGAATCAGTTAGAAATCCAAACATATACACAGTCGCTTTCAAATGATATTCTTAGCTTTTGGTTAACATTTGAAAAAAATATAAGCTTATTGAAAGCATTCAATATAAAAGACACTTCGAAGAGCTTTGAAAAGTAAACAAGTAATATTTGATTAGTTTGGAAATATGTAGGTTGTATCCGTCGCTTAACGATTTTAGTTGACGTACCCTTGGAACGGGAGCGCGGTGAACAGCTATTTCCTCTTCCTCCCACTCAGCTATCTTGTGCCTCCGAATTTTCAGTGGTACCTCAACTAAGATCAATCTCCACAAAGGTCTTTTCATCGTTTTTTAAAATTAAATTAAGGAACTTATTATCAGAATGGGTTTTGTGGAGATTGTAGTAATTTCAATGGTTAAGATCATGAGTCAGTTGAAGTTGGACAACCATGGAAAACGTGGAAGTACTGGACGGCCGTTTCGTTCTATTATGGAACTCCTCAGCAGTGCGCATCCACCACCTCGCCCCCTGCGAGATTCGAACCCAGGACCTACTGGTTTTGCGCGCGAGCACTTAACCACTAGACCACTGAGCCGGCATCCAACAGTGTTAATGTCTAACTTCAACTAATCCACGAAATTGAGCATGGTGGTCCAGCTTCAACTGACTGAATATCTTAACCATTAAGGAAATTAGTTGAAAAAGCGATCTCAATGACGCCATTGAACTGTTATGGTACTGGAATTTAAATTGAAGTGATTTTATGGAGGTTGGTTTAATTTGTGGGTTGTATTCGTCACAGATTGATTTTAGTTGGGTTACTTTTGTAAACTAAAGATCAGTGGATGGCTGTTCTATCATTGTATGATGCTTTTCAGTATTGCGCACTCACAACTCTAACCATGATAGGTCTCTTGGCGAACTCCCAATCACTAAACTTTTAGGTCAGGTTCTAATCATCTGATACCATTGATGATAACTGTTTACTGTTGACATATCTTTAAGAAATACAGCCTACTACTAGTTAATATCAGTAGTAGCGTTTAAATTTATCATACTTTTCAGGACAAGACTGATATATTTATGTTTTGTTTTAATTAAAAATTTGTAGCTTTTCGGATAAAAAAGCCTAATGAATTAACTAACCTATAGGCTGTTAAATAATTTCTAAATATACAATTTTATATTGAATCGCTTATTCATAGTGGAACACTGTATACAATTCAAGTATTGATTATAGAATTAGTACTCAAGTTATTGACATAAATAGGGTTTGTTGATTGATTAAACGAACAAACAACCAACATTTTTTAAGCTTTCTTGGTGTGGTTGAACATACCGGTTTAGATCACAATATTTTATTAAAGTGAACATTTTGCCATCATTTTAAAGGTAGTAGTAATCGTTGAACCTCACTCCTGAATAAACTTTGTATCTCTTCCCTGCCCCACATATATGCCGTACATTAACAAAACCCTATGATAATATATCTGTAGCAGAACAGTATTAGCTTTATTTAATATAAAATTGTCAATTTTTCTGAAATTTTTGCTGCATACATGTTACTTTGATTTTTTTTCTTAAAGAATCGTTTAATTCTGTCTATTAATGGTGAAATGGTGACTTAACATATAACTTCTCAGTCTCTATTCGTCTGACTTTGTGACTCATATACGTCATCAGTGTATATACCAGAAATTAACATTGAAATGTCATGTAGTTTAACTAGTATAAACCAGAGTTAGTAACAGTCTCGACTCTGGATCTAATTACTACCAGTTATCAGTGAAAATGAGGACATTGTAAGCTAACTATAAATTATCATCCTATTTTGATTTCATAGCCCGGTGTTTCTTTGGTTACTTATATTATTGTTCCAGTTTTTGTCGTAAGCTTATCACATTTAGTGGTTTAGTGTTACTTGTTAGGATTGGTCACTGCGTCCATTGTTATCCATGAATACTCAATGCTTTATTCCCTCAACTTCAGTAGAATTGTTTCCTTATCCACTCAACTTACTGTTACAATAGAGTGAGATCATTCATAATTTCGTAAACATGATGAGCGACAAAATCAACAATTTTAGGAAACATTACTTCACACTGCATAAGCGTTTTGTCTGACATAAAAATAGGTCTTGAAATATTTAAGTAATTTGTTCATGGTCGTTATATTAATTCGTACCATTAGCATGGATTGGTAACTAATAAAGCTTCGGCATTCGAACAAAATTTTCCTATAAAAGTTACCTTCGGTGAAATACCTTTTATTTGGTATATCTCAGTTGATGTTTTCCGCTTACCTATTTTATTCTCACCGACTTTGGATCGGTAGTAACCTTTGAAGAGCTACAGACAAATAAGTGAATATATTTTTAGTATCCCGATTAGTGAAAAAATTAAATTTTCTGACGTTTCGTGACTCAGTGTAAACCACTTCTTCAGAGAATAAATAACCAAATCAAAATTAATCCAAGTTTAAATAGTACAATGGAACAACAATAATATTATGTGGTCAGTCAAAAAGTAGGTCTGAACAAATCAATGTCATGTCGTTTCGGTCAAGTTGATTCATAAGCGACAAGTATGTAAATTTATGTATATGTAAGTGTGCACGGTTAAGGATGAGAAACATGTGATGAGAAAGGATAGAGTTTTGTTCTCTGAGCTGGATGGTTTGGTCGTGGAGCTTCCATTGTTCTTCTGAACGACATCATCAGCACAAACTTCAGGTAGAAGTGAAGTGTTCGAATTTCTCCTCGTGTGGTTCACAGCTTGTCCTGTAGACCTCGATGTTGATTGGTTCTTGTTGACCTTTAATTTCTATGTAAGGTAATAGTATGAATTGTGAATAATATCAGACTAGGTGGCTAGGATAGATAGTCCAACTAGAATGTATAGTAAGGCGTTCTTTTCTATTGAGAGCAGTAGGATTAAGCATTATATGGAGCACTTCAGCTACTCTCCTTTCCTTGTAATTGGATAAACCTTTTTTTAGTATTTTGATATTTTTGAAATCGACTTGGTGGTCGTTGAAAATTGCGTGAACTGATTTTGCCAATGTGATTTGAAGTCCATCCGGTTCTATGGGATTATTAGATGGTTTCTTTGTGTACTTAATATGTTCTTTGTCTCGAGTCAAGATGTCACGAGATAGCTTTCCAATATAGAAGGTATCACAATTGACAAATCCCAATTCGTATACACAGTTCTGTGTTGATATGAAGGGGATCTTTTTTCTTTTAAGAGATCTAAAGTATTTCGAAGTGTGTTCGTTGTTTTGTAATATACTTTAATTCAATGCTGTTTTAAGATTCGTTGAAGTTCTTCTATTGTGCCATGGTATTTCATTCGAATTATTATTATAACGCAATGAAACGTCTTGTTTTAATATACTTCTAATAATTTTCATAGAAAAATTATTCGATTGTAAGTTGCCAATTACATTCTTTAGTTTTTTATGTCTATCTTCTTCCGATGTGATAATCTTATTAGCTCTTCTAAAAAGATTTAGGGCTAGCGAGATCTTTGTACTGAATGGGTGTGCTGAATTGAAGTCAATATAACGATTAGAGTGTGTAGGTTTTCGGTAGATGGATAGATTTAGAATTCCATTTAGATTTCTTTTCACTAAGCAATCTAAAATCGTAGCTCACCATGTTTATTTCCATTCCCGTTAGTAAATTTGATGTGCTTTTAAAGTGCATTGATCTGTTTTGAAAAAGATCTTAGATGCTCAGTTTATTCGAAATTATCAAGTCAAACCTTGATAATGATACCTAGCTACAAACGGAGTTACATGCATACTTACATTGACAAAACTATTTTTATTTCTTCATAACATTTAAATATCACAATGGTTGAGATCATAAGTCAGTTGAAGCTAGACCACCATGGAAAACCAAATCAAAATTAACCTAAGTTTAAATAGTACAATGGAACAACAATAATATTATGTGATCAATCAAAAAACAGGTTTTCCGCGGCGATCCAGCCTCAACTGACTCATGATCTCAACCATCGAAATTACTATAATATCCACAAAACCCCTTCTGATTTAAATATTTATTGAATTTGATAAGTGGGATTTATGTCAATATGTTTTTTCTGCACCTTCAATGCATAAGATGATTATGTGAATATTTTGGAATCTGAAACTGTTTTTTTGCTGGTGACAGTGTAATAACAACCGTATGAAATATCTCTGTGATTTCAGTTTGTCATAAAAGTTCAGTATTTTATTCGATCAATAAAAATTGAATTGACTAGTTAGTTTCATCACGCTCTCAACTAATTAGATATTTATATAGTATAGGGATAGTTTTTCATATATTATGATTAATTTTATAATCGACTGATCTGAATTAATAGTTTTATTTATTTGATTATGGTACGTATATCCACTATCTTCTAAACCGACTTCTCAGTGCATTAATGTTATGTATGCGTATTTGATCGGTTCATATACTTTCATTTTGATTGGATTATCACAATAGTTTACCGTTTTGTCGTTTACAGTGACCATCTTATTGAACAAAGAAGAAACAGCAGTTCATCTGTTTATCATTTTCTATTATTACCAATAGTCAATATTGATAATTTATGGTTAGATGGAATGAATTTTAACAAATCTACTACATCAACAAAACCATTTTCAATTATTAGAAATTTATTACATTTGAATTTAATCTACATTTTTATTCCACCGACAATTATATCAAGTGAAAATAGTCAACTTTCAGAGGTATTAGCATTACATATAAAACATTTATTAGATAATGTTTTAATACAAACTAATCATCTTAAGGTAAGTGAAATTACTCTGTCATACATTTACAATGGTAATTTTAGACTTAAATAATGTAAAAATTATGAAAATTTTTGGATTTTATAGTTTACATTACAGACTGACCCCAGTACTAAATAATAATCGTATGTTCACTTGTGATCAATTTTGTGCGATAATCCCCTGTAGTTCTGTTGTGGTTGATTTCGACTATGTTGTGTATGCAATAATTACCCACAAATGACATTGGAATATGGTTGGGAAATACTACGAATTGATGAAATCTACACATATAAGTCGTTGGACGCTGGTTCGGTGATTCAAAGGTTAAACAGTGGCCTCAAGACCTAAAGATTGTAGGTTCGATTCCCGATGAGGTTGTGATTATGTGTTGCTTAGGAATTGGATACTAGGATGAATCAAATACCCAATGCTTCCTGATCTGGGATGGTTACTTAATTAAGGTCAGTTTATGATGGAAACTGCACAATATAATTTGTTTCATAAGATTTAATAGTGGCCTATGAAATTATCTCTTGTGCTCGTGATAGTTGTTACGACAGCTGGAAAATTTAATCTCGCATTGGTTCATTTCGTGTTTCCTATTGATATCGTCAATCAACAAATTGACATTGAATAAGTAACTCGGTCAGGTTATTTTTGTAGAATGTTTCGTATAAATTACAGATTTAGTTTTTTATTGTTATATTCATTCGCATACATAAAAGCTAAGTCTCTTACATTGTTTCTACTCGTTATACATGAATTTGAAATACCAATGAGTTTTATTGTGGTTTACTTATTTGTAAATATCATTTAAGAAATTGTTATGTTTTATGAAGATACTCTGTTTAATTATATATATGACAATCACCACTACTACTCAAATTTTCGTATCAAATTATATTATAATTTATTCCTAGCTTTTGGTCTTTTTAAACCTACCTAACTGAGGGGAATAAATGTTACAGGATATACTAATGCTATATCTGACTTTACTCACAAGTAGTTTGCATGATATACCTAATTACTTCCAACCATATATAAGCTCATCTAACTTCCAGCCAAGTATGACTGTAAAAATTTGTTGACTGTTTGAAACATTTTGGTTAGATGTATTCATCATTTTCACCTTTTATCAAATTATACAAGCCAATGTATAAACATATTTACCTGTACATAGATGCTAATATATTCCGTTATGGTGAGTTTTATTCACTTTTATGATTTACTCCTATAATTCCCAAAAGATTCATATTTTCTTTATAGCATAAGATTTTACTAGAGTTATTTTAATTCTCCGGTCCGAAATTTATGTAGAAGGGAAACTATAAATTTTAACGCTTATCTACAGCTTTCTTATGAATGTTTAAAGCAATAAGTGTCCACTTTGACGCGGTTTTAATGTGTTTGACTTGGGATTATATCTGTTTAACTTTTTATAAGATACAGTGTGTTTTAAGCCTAATTCTTTTGTTTTTTATTGTTTCCTGAAACACATAGTTTGTGTCGTTTGGGAACGTTGTTATGTAGTCGTGGTTATGTAAAAGTTTTATTTAGTTGTTACTGTATGTTAAATTTAATAAACTACGTTCTCTTCTGCAAGTGGGCTGGTATTAAATATCTGCTTTCGAAATTCCATTTAGAAACTTGTACGAAAATACGATAATCCTGTAAATTTGTCTCCTGGTCAGTACAATCAAATCTCAAAAATTATAGATAAACCATTGTCTGTATCTAGTATGTACGATGTAACTGTTACAGTGCTTACACTCGATGATTCTGTTTCACAATTAGTAGAAGAATCTAATGAAATATCGGTTTGGACTAATGAAATGTTGATAAATCCTATACCATGGTTAAAAGCCCACGTAGGATCAGCTTTTAAAAATTGGTCGCCTTTTGTTCAAGTCGATTTCTATTCACAAAGACTTTATGGAGTTAGTGCTGAACTATTGAAAAAGAGGTAAGTATCATTATATGTTGGATCGCTTGATCAAAAATAGACTATCTACCAATGAGATCCCGTATAGTAGATAATTTTTAGGTATCGTTATTAAAGTTTGACTTCAAATAAATTGAATATCGGTTAGATTGTTGCAAAGAAAAATGATGTATTTTTAATATCCCAATGACGTTTCGTGACTTAATCGGAGACTAAGTAAACAAACTAAACTAACCCAAGTTTAAATGGTACAAATAAATAAAACAGAAATATTTAGTACGATCAATCAAAAAACAGGTTTAACCAAGTTAATATCATGTCACTTTTGTCTTTATGAAAAAGACTTTCTTACATACTTTTACTAAACTGATCAATACACTCTCATCCCATATTAATTTTATTTGAAAGGATGAAAATAAATACGGTCAGCTCTCATTTTTAGATTACTCAAAAGAAAGTGAATTGAAGCTCTAAATCTAACCATCTACTGAAAACTAACACTGTCAGATCGTCATATCAACTTCAATTCGGCACTTTGATTCAGTTCAAAAATCTTTCTGTCCATAAATCTTTTTAGAAAAGCAAACAACATTACATCTGAAATGGATAAACAAAAGCACATAATTAAAATCTTACAATTCAGTAATTTCCCTATGAAAATTATTAGAAAAATGCATTAAAACGAGACTTTACTGCTAAATAATAGTTTGAAAGAAGCGCCATGGATGGATAGTGTATTTTACCATACCGCCACGGTACAACAGAAGAACTCTAAAGAGTCTTAAAACAATACAGAATCAAAGCATACTACAAAACAACCACCATTCTGCAAACTTCTTCAGTTCATATAAAGGATAAGATTCACTTCAAGTCAACACAGAATCGCGTTTACAAATTAGGTTGTGTCGATACTGGTGCCTTTTGTATCGGAGAGTCATTTTATGTAATCTTGATTCAAGTCATCTTAGGTACACAAAAAGCCACCTAATGATCTTGCGGAACTTGAAAGACTCCAAATTGAATCGGTTTTAACAGTGCATGATATCTTCAATAACCATCAAGTCGATGTTAAGAATATCAAAATAATAGAAAAAAGCTTTTTCAGCTGCGAAGAAATGCCAGTAGCTGAAGCTTTCCATATATTGCTGAATCCTGTACCCCTTAATAGAATAGAAGGCCTTGGACCATCTATTGAGCTACCATATCTGGTTCTATTTACATCTCGCACTATTACCATGCATACAAATTCAATTCTATCCTTTAGTATTACATGTATCAAATTTTTCATCTATTAACACACAAAAATATATAAGAATGTCTTACATAAATTACCTTGACCTGGGTGACATGACATCAACTTGGTCAAACCTGTTTGTTTTGATTGACTGAGACACGAAACATCAGGAAATTTCGTGGTGCTCACTCCGGATATATCTTTACAGTCTAACAGCTAGGTGTGGTTGGACTGTGGTGGGCGCTACTTATATTGATATAATAAGTAGTATATGACGCGAGAAGAAGATCAAGAAAGGAAGAGCGGGAACACAATGGAATTTGTATGAAAACTCATGAACGATGAAATGTCAGTCAATGGATTGATATTTGCAACAGGAACAGTCCAGTTTGATATGAAGGTTTGATATTTTGCAAAGTAACGATTTAATATATGGTTTTTTCTATTTTACCAATTAATTCTGTAATTTGAGCTAAATACAATTCGGTTGTCCTCACCAGTGTTCTGCTTCACTACAGGACTACCTAATTGTATGTTCCATTATGGTATCAGAATTATGTAACTACTTGGTACGTGTCTGTCGTTTTGGGAAATATATATTGATAGATCTACAAGCACCGTTTTTTCGAGTTCGACAGACAAATAACTGATTAATAAATATGATTTCAGTTAAAATCCCGATTATTACGTTTGAACACTTGTGGAATACTTAAGTCGTATTTACTGTGATAAGTTTTAATAAACATTTTTTTCATTCTGCCAATCTCAACAGCTATGTGTCATGGGCGACAATAGATTTTTCGGCCTTTATAATCTAACACTCATCATAACTTTCTGATGTGGAATGTTTGTATTTAAGCTTAGTTTACAGTATAGTTGTCATTACTGACACACAAATGCCGCTTTGCATTGTTTCATTTCAATAATATGACATGAGTTAAGTAAAAGTGGATGGGGATTCGGCAAAATATTGACCGATGCTGGACTTGAATAGTTAGTAGGCGAAGAATGAAGCTGAGCATCAAGTTTTCCTGTGAACCACAACTGATAATCCTCTGTTTCGCTTTACAACTTTTATATGTTCACACTATCTTTTTGTTTAGTACCCTGAACACTTAACACGGTTATAGTAATTAACTGGAATACATCGACAACCAAAAACAACTGGATATTGATGTTCCAAATGGTGTGAAGAGCGATAGTCACAATATTTTTGATATCATGTCAAATATTCGGAGATAGAATTCCTAATCAATGATATGATGAATCAAACAGTTCCGAAATCATTAGAGAACTTCAATGTGATGTCACTTTCACAGTTAGAAAATTCAGATACTATCCAAAGTTATCTTAATAGTTATAAAGTCTGTATACAAGCATTCTGTCAAAATGGTTTACAGGAGAATTAAGGAGTAATAAATCACGTTTTGTTATTTATACATCAAAATGCACATTCATGTCGAAACTGGTAGAATGGGTCTCATATTTATTTCAGTTAGTAAATTCTCATGTGTAACCAGTACGTTCTCTAGTCACAACTACCGAATCAGGACTAGATACAGAGAACACAGTGCATGCACACTCGAATATATTGTATTGGACTGGTGAGATTAAGGCTTTGGTAGGAATGGAAAGTTAGAATAACTTAATAATACAAATAAGATTTCTAGAGGATTATGTACTCGAGTAATCCTCATCAACTTTAGCGAGAATAATTCAAAACTAGGAGATTACTATTTTTTCAACTGAAAATTATATCTTCACTCAGTAGCTTATATCTTTATGAGATATCTGCCATAAATATGATTTGTTTCGAACCGATTGCTTTCACTTTGTTTTGTAAGGCTTACTTTCTTAATCTTATTTTATCAACAACAAAAAAATTAATTATAACGATAACCTTTACTCTGTCTGTTTAAATTATATTCTACTTAATTCTCTTTCTAGTCAATTGTCAAAAACCGGAAACTATACATTTTATTCTCAAGATGATATATCCAATCTTATTAATTATTTAGAATCATTTTTGGGACCTCCTCAAACAGCGTATGCAGATAATCTCGATGTGGCTCTTTCTAATCCAGGTCTACATCTTATTTTGTTATTAAATACTTTTAAAAGAAATAATTCACATGGAGTTGACTGTCCTTTACCTTTAAGATTTCATATATCATCATATTCATCTGTAGTAATAACTGATTATGCACTTGTACCTCAATGGGGCGGTCTACTTTCTATTGATGCTTCTGATTGTATGGTAAGAACTGGGTGGTCAACCAAGATGATTGCACAAAAAATTATTTATGTGATACGTTCAATATTAGGTTTTCCACAAATCAAAGAAATGTATTTTGATCGGAATGTGGATAGTAGTCACGCCTATCATATTCAATCTAACATGGACTTAAATGGTCAAACAACGAATTGGGAGGTTTGTTTTTCTTTATAAATTTATATCTTTAAAGCACTATGTTTACAAAGTTTTATTTAGCTTAGATATGGAGTAGCTGGAAATTATTGGTTTAGCATGGTTTTTACTAATTTCCGCATTATTTGGCTTCTGAATCATTTCTTTTAATTTACATGGATTGATTTGGCTACTTTGCTTGTAAACCAGGTTGACTATGAAGTTAACTCAACATGCATTACCTATCATACATAACTTACATTTTCTGTCGGTATAATTGGTATTTATGAATTACTAGACAATTGATGAGTTAAAGTAATTCATAAACACCAATTATACCGACAGAAAATGTAAGTTATGTATGATAGGTAATGCATGTTGAGTTAACTTCATAGTCAACCTGGTTTACAAGCAAATAGCCAAATCAACCCACGTCGTGCATTATTTGCCGACGCTGAGACTGGTTGGAAAAAGCGGAGAGGTGGTCAGGGCATGAAATGATGTCGTGGGATGAAAGAAAGCTGCAAAGGGCTGGCTTCTGTTGGTCCTTCACGACTTCCTGGTGTTATAGCCTAAAGTCGCCAATCAGAAGCAGTGAACTATCGATCGAACCAAGGACGCGTAAACACGTGCGAGCAGCCTAGAGTTCTGATTGGTCCTGCTTTCCGCCTAGCCCAGCCAGTTAAGTCCAGAACGCCGATCTCAGCCTCTGCAATATGAATCATTATATTTCAAACATACTGAGTTTATATACCAATCGAACAGATCACAACGTAGCATAAAATAGAAAATAACATTCATACAAAATTTGGCCAAATGTGACTGTGAATGTGGGAGGCAGTGACTAATAGACAGGGCATAATTCAAGAATGGTAAAATGTATAATAATGGTTCATAGGTCAAAATAAAGCTTATAATAAGAGGAACATGAATATAAATAGTTTAGTTATTTAACAATTATACGATAAAAATAGTATTGGTCCACAAATGGGTCCCAAAATTACTATTCATTACTCTTGTCGGGACATAACACACCTCTCCTTTTTTGAAAATCCGGAGTTGATATTCCGATTTTGAACTTTCTGAGTCCATCCTCCCCCGCAAATTAATGTTGGGTCCTCATATACCCAGGTTACAATTAATTTTACTGTATTTAAAACATATTGAGCAGAGAATCCAGTAAAATTGACCAGATAGTGAGGATAAACGCCATTTAATCTGAGGTCATCAGAGTTTGAATCTTCTGAAATATTGTTATCAATTTTATTGGGAGCGTCATTTGTAGGTAATGGATCATCAAGATAATCAGCATCTATCAAAATTGTATTAGGTTTCTGATCATCATTTGACCCATCTGATATATTTTCTGGTAAACGAGAATCTCGATAATTAGATTCGTCAGAAACTTCTGTCGCAGAATGATAAGATCCATTTGGAGCAGCTGCATTCAGTGTACTGCTCGATTTGTTTTCTGTTTCTTCATGGGCGTTTATTGAGACAATTCTATGAACATTTAACAGGGTGTCTGTTTGTGAGCTGGATAAATCACTGTATGCACATGCTGTTGCGGGGATAATGGAGTTTGAATCCATTACCGGGCATGTTTCTGAAATGGAGAGTACTGGACCACTGGGCGTATCTTGAGTGACTGCTGTATCGTTTGGAATACGGTTTGTCGAGGAATGGTAAAACGTGTAATAATGGTTCATAGGTCAAAATAAAGCTTATAATAAGAGGAACATGAATATGAATAGTTTAGTTATTTAACAATTATACGATAAAATTATACGTTTAGTATTGGTCCACAAATGGGTCCCAAAATTACCATTCATTATTCTTGTTGGGACATAACACCTGGCTGGGGTCCTAGAGATGGTGTAACACAGTGGCTAGAGACTTTATTAGATATAGCTCAGAATAGAAGCCAGTGGCGATCTTGCTATAACCTTTTACTTTCTTCATAAAAGTGGTTGCTTCTTCCTTAACTGAAAGATTTCTTCTGATTGTACCTTTCCATTTCCCCTATTATTATTATTATTATTATTATTATCATTATTATTACTATTATTATTATTATTATTATTATTATTATTATTATTATTATTATTATTATTACACTACCTTACACTAATCTGTTCGTTATTTTTCTTTATTTACGCTCCTTTTTTTCTCTTCAAATTCTGATTGTTTTGTGTGGCGCATATATATTTGGTGCCCTCTTGTACCAATATTTATGTGTTCAAATAAATAAATAAATATACATCAATTGTCTAGACAGAAAGCTAATCACCGTCCTCACATAAAACGACAGATCGAATTTCGCTTTGGAATCTTGAAGCAACTCAAAAATTTTTGGCTTCATAGATGGTCTGCTTAATATACCTTCTATGTTCAATAATCCTTACAGAAGAATATACTTAAATACAGAAATAAATGAATAGTCATCCGACTACTTATTTCCTTGAGTTTATGCAGACTGCAGAGGTTTGTGGTTTCTTGGGAGGAAAGTCATGATCCGTGCATGAATTTTATAGATATGCTCAGTGAATTTGTATTTTACTAGCCTACATGTACAGTCTCAGAGTCTAAAAGCTCGTTTTTATCATGTGTTTCGTTATTATACATTTTAATAACTTCTATCTGTTACCGTATTCACTTAGTATGTTCTATCGAGAACTGTGCACATGTTCACTTCATAACATGGCTTAAAAACTTGTTTCTTAGAGCTTCATAGCGAGCTCAAATCTTAGCAAATCATATAACTAGGACATGTATCTTAATTTTGTTTGTTTACAGCTTAACTTGTGGTTTCTTCGACGAACTATTGAATGTCTTACTGAGACAAAACGAACTATTGAATCATTAATAAACATACTACAACGCCTTCCAAACATGATTATACGAGATGATGTTGCTCATGAAGTATATCACTCATGTTCGAATTGGTCATTAGCTCTTGATAGTCTCAAAAGACCTGATGAAATAAACAATTCAGCGTCGTCACACGAGATTATGTGCTCCTTTGGTGCTACATTCCAATATGCGCATAATGCTTTAATTTCCTCAAATGGCGCGTTTTTCGATCACAGTCTGCTTGGTCTTTTATATTTCGAGGTGAGTAAGCTTTTTATTATTCTCGCCATCTAGAGCGGTTGGTAAAAGCATGTCAAACTATGTCTAATTATTATGGAGTACTCACCTTATCAAATACCTGGGAACCACTTATTGGATTAAATGTAACCCAATGCTTTACTATATTAAATCCAGTGAATAATACCGAGTCACTATCCTCTTTCAATCTTAAGAATACAAAATCACCTTTTACGGAGGGAAGACGTCATTTTTGGGGAATTGGTCTTTAAAATTAAATTGTACGTACTTTTGACAGATGTGCAGACGCATAATTAGTATTTACTTTTCGTTGTGTATGTATTCTTGTGTAACTGGAACTCCGTATTGTAGCGAGGTCTTTGCTAATCTTAAGACTGTCAAAATTATTTGTGATTGATGAATTTAACCTTAGTGCCCAAGCTTCATTCTGTCCCACTAGCACACACCATTGTAAGTGATGTTTATTTAAACACATTGATACAAAGGAGTAACAAAATGTATATGCGCCACACAAAGTAGTTATCAATAAATTTGTTTTCGCCAAGGATTTTGTTGGAGTGCCCAAACCATAGAATGTGTTCTTGGGGGCCATTCCCCGAGCCTTTGACCAAGAGGTCTAATCCACGATGTAGTGGAGCAACGTTGGGAGTTGCGGTTTCATGGCAGCCGGTGATCAAGAATAGGTTTGGACGATATTTGTTCTCAGTGTTCTCCAACTCTGCTAAGCTGGCTTCATAGATGATCTGCTTAATATACCTTCTAAGTTCAATAATCCTTACAGAAGAATATTCTTAGATACATAAATAAATGAATAGTCATCCGACTATTTATTTCCTTGAGTTTATGCAGACTGCAGAGGTTTGTGGTTTCTTGGAAAGAAAGTCATGATCCGTGCATGAACCTGGCTTAAATGCTGGACATTCGCTCATGTTGTTATATCCTAGTGAAGATTGAATTACGAGTAACGTCTGAGATCTATTAACGGAATAATATTATCTATATATTCTTACGATATAACTATTCAGTAACTAGATTGTATATATCTATTTTCCCCTTATTATAAGCTTAATTTTGACCTATAGATTACTATTGTACGATTTACTGTTCCTAAGTTATACTCAGTTTGTTAATTACTGTCTCCCACGTTCACAGCCACTTTTGGCTATATTTCGTACGAGTGTTATTTTCTGTTTTATGGTGCGTTGTGGTCTGTTTGTTTGGTATATAAACCCAATATGTCTGAAACAAATGATTCGCATAGTGGAGGCTGTTATTGGCATCCTGGACGGGCTAGGCTGACCAGACCGGTCGAACGTCATTGGTTTAGTACAGTGTAAGAGCGAACAAGTCGTATTTTGATTGGAGAATAGATAACGTGATAACAAGCGGCTCGTAAAATCACAACACTCGTCCTCTCGATTTCGTAAACAACGGCTCCGCAACGTAAAGGTTGTGAGTAGAACTTCCACGGTAGTGACTAAATACACATAGTCATATGATGGTATTTCAAGAGAAAGAGCGAACTCTCCCCACTTTCGACCGTACCAGGGGGATCAATACAATTCGGCTATGTAGCCATTCCTTACGATTCAACATTTGATTGAGAATCTTGGTCGTCAACCTTACGGCAGAACAAAAAGCATATTTAAATCTAATGAGCGTTGCGAAAACGTCAACGTAGAGTTCATTGAGTACTTTCATTCTGATTATCACATAAATAAATAGTTTATGAAGACATAGTTTTGTTCTCATCAATTTACCTGTTCGCTTAATAATTACACAATTTACTTTTTGTAGGATGACCAAAAATATGGTATTTATACGCCGCTTTTCGTACCAATTGGTTTCGCCTTATTCCTGTCAACATATCGAACATTTAAACTAGTATTCCGTGACAACAACTAATAGGAAACATTTTTATTTTAATTTTATAATATTTGTTCGTACCGGCAAAAATAAAGTATCTATACAACTACGTCCCACCAGTTTTCTAGCTGTTAGTTATCCATCTGTATATTTTAGAAAATGGGTATTAAAGAAACCATTTAACTAATTACGGGAAATCATGATAATACAATGCAAGTTATGAGCATATAAGAGTCTTCAAATCATCCTTAAAATTATCATAATCTTGGTTGAAGAGAACACTTTCTGTCTTCTTGCTTATCATTCTATTGGGTGTTGCTTCGAAAACCTCGCGCCTACTTTGATTTATTTGTTTTGCAAGTTTTATTAGTTCGGGATTGACTTTGCTGATATTTTTAGGTTTGACAGAATTGCACTTGTCAGGTCTGGACTGGGAGTCTGTAAAATAATTAAAGCAAAAAGGGTTATTGTGATTACATCCACATAAACAAATTTATTGCACTGCTAAGTTAAAGGTGTTTACTTTCAATTAATTAATGCATATATATATATATATATATATATATATATATATATATATATATATATATATATATATATATATATATATATATATATATATATATATATATATATATATATATAAAGACAATGTATAGATCAGCATTGCATTCGAGACTGGCAAATTATTGATGATACATCATGAACATCTGTTAATTGTAGAGAAGGTGCATGATCGCTCTGATGAATCCGAGTAAATAATGTTCAACTTAGCTAGGACTACTTCTGTATTTGTAATGGTTGTTTGGATTCACGCACATGCAGCTGAAGAGTCTTGGATTCCACTGCTAGCCACAATAAACTTAATTCTGAAGTCCTTAACAGTGAAGGACAACTTTTGAGTCTTCTAAGCGTTTACATCATTTTTAGTTGTTTCACGTCGTCTTACCAGTGACACTCGTTTTAGATTACATACTACTTGGATGGGACAGTGGTGGTCCTTTTTCAGAGATTCCGGTTTTATTCATGGTTACTCACCAACATCAACTTCACATGTCAGGAATCCTCATAGATGATGTTTTGCAAGAGGTGATCGTTGAAGCCGATTTACCAGAAGATAATGGTGGGTAACATGGTGAGTACTGGTGCTACGGTGTTTGTATATGTCCTGCGATAGAAGACATATATAACTGTTTCGCTTCTTAACACGACGGGTGTTCATTCCCGAAAGCATTGAAGTGGGAACAGACAAATAACCTTATAATAAAACATAACCTTAGCATTATCTGAGAAAAAAATGTTTGACCACTGAAAAATTGGTCATTTTCTAGAGTTGAGGAAAGTGGATAACTTGCTTCGAGGACAATGCAGGAGGTCAGAGTAAGTAAACTGGTGTTTTGGCATTCAAGAGATCTGGCCAACTACTTGTACTCTAGATCGGGCCTTGTCAGCTAAGGAACAGCATATTATAGCACAACTAAATGGCTTGAACCCTTTAAATAAACAAATGTATAGCCACTAAGCTGGTTGCCGTCACGTTTGACGCACCTGCTCGTCCAGAAGTTAGATAGTTACAACGGAAAAGCAGACTATGATAGACATGTAGTAGTGAGACATTTCATTGAAGGATGACATTTCCCGATGATGAATATCGTGAACTGATGACAGTTCTCATTAACAAAGTCAACCAACTCACATCATGGACATTTTAATTTTGAGACACTTCCAATCAATATAGTGTCAAGATTCCCTTCAGATTCAATGCCCTTGGGATATTTATTTGTAATGAAGAAAGAAATCTATTTATGGGTAGATTCCTCATAAAGAACTTGGAGTATGAATAAAACTATTATCACGGGCATATGTTATTCTTGAGCATAAGTGTCGTACATTAGACTTGGCATCTGTATGGGTAGCGACAGTGTATATTGTCCTCTTTATAGTCCTTAAAAATACATTACCACTACCTCTGTACTTAGATTTTAGACGCTTAGCATTAGCGTAAACGCATCTTAGGTTTCGCAGAAGTGTAACAGGTTCAGTTAGAAATAATTTGTGTGGATGGTGCTACGAGCCCGAACACTTAATTTATAGCGTACATTCGTTGAACACCTTGTTGGTGACGTTATTTTGTGAGATCCGCTATCAGCTTTCCATTCGAGTTTTATATGATGGAGATTAAAAAACAGTACATAGCTTTTAGCACATGTTCAAGTAAGCAGGTCACAGTTATGCAGAAGAGGTAATTTCCTGTTATCATTTCGGCAACTACAGAAGACACGTCCGTCAAGTACGACTGTAAGAAACAAAAAATTAAGTTTAAGAATACTATAACTTCATTTAAGCCGGATAATGTAGTAATAATACATAAAAAACCTAGGGTAATCACTGATATCAAGGTAAAAAGAATTAATTAGGTCTATAGCTTTCACTGACTCGATAGATCATTTCACGGAACTCACTGTACTCATCAAAGCACTAAGTACGACATGAGAGATTAGCCGCAAGTCACAAAAGAGATGAGAAATACGTTGAAGTGGCAACCTTTTATCGATGTTCAATAGCTGTAGTGTTTAGTCTTGACAAATAATACTGGAATTCTCATTTTACGTTGCCAGTTGTAAATAAAAAAAGTTCCACAGTTTAGTTGTGGTATGAATGTTAGTAACTCAAATCCCAATTTCTTAAAACTCCATATTTTATTCATAATTTCCAAATAAACCATTCTTTATTTTTCACTTACTTTCTCACTTACATGTACTACATTGAAACAAATTAAATGTAAGTAGTCGGGACGTGATTGGTATATGGAGTTGAAAATTCTAAATAAATAGCACGTAACAGTAACTTTTTTGCGGATTTTCGCCAGTGACAGTGGAATTCTGTATATACCACGGGAAGGTGCGATAATCTCATTTCTTGTAAATAAGTGGTTCTACCGACGTATAATTTTCTAAATCGAGTTTACTGTATTTAAATGTTTGTCTTGTGTTGCAAATAACGGCGAACATAGGGGACATTTAGAATAAGAGCATATAAGTGTGCGTTAGTGGAAACGAACATTAGACTAATAACCAGCTCAAACTATACTAAATCCAGTTAGGATATTTCGACCTGATGCCTGAAGCATTTAGAAGTTCTACTTTTATTGGATGCACTTTCATATATTAACTTTTCTGTCGTACGCTGACCTATCGGTCTAAAGATGACATGTTAATCTGCACAGATTAATTAACCTACGTACGTAGCACCTAATTACGTGAGAACATGCTACTCGACCAGACACAGTAGGTTACAAACTTTGAGTCTGGAAAAAAATAACATACTTTTTTTACTTGAAAATATTTTCCAAGTAACTTTTTTGGAATGACGTTTTCGGTATAGTTCATTACGAAGACGTTTCAGTTGGCCTCTACTTTGGTTTTGCTTACTGGACTTACATCGTACCTGAGAACCGTGTAAAACGACATGAAAGATTACCTCACGTCTCCGAAACTCAGGCAGAGCTGGAACAATAGCAATTTGACTTAATGCTTTTTTCAGTAGTGACTTCATGGAAACCAAACGCCCGCCTCCTCAGTTTACGTTTTGAGAATGGCCTAGGAAATATTCTTCATGTAGGATCCAACATACCATTTTTTTTAATCGCATTCTTAAATAAGCCAACTGATTTTTTTGATCTTGCCTCTTATTAATTCGGTATGGTTTCACGTCTTTGTTATTATCCAATGAAACGTAGACCAATTAATGGATTACACGAATTTTTGACAGTTTTGTAGCTGTGTAGGTTTGCACATATATTAATTCGAATTATTTCGGTAATTTCAAAATTTTCGGATACCAGCAGCTATCATGTCATCAAGCAAGAGGTTGACTGGTTAATTCCAATGTGAAGAAAAAGAGAAAATTCAAGTATTAAGAAACGATCGTTTCTCTTCCAGATCATCTAGCCTGAGTGCAGTTTAGCCATGAAGTCTTAAATTCAAGATAAACGTGGGTCAGTGAAACCTATCTTCGCAGCCATATCCATGACGACATGAATTTTTGAGTCGAATGCTCGTAGTCAATGGATAATACACGGACCGTCATCTTTTGGTCCGAACAGGTCGTCCAACTGTCCCACGATATGGGAAAATTCGACGAGAACCATGTAGTATTTAGACAAATCTCAGGTATGATTACTGTAATCTGGTCTGGATAATTTAGCATTTGTGTGTGGGGGGGGGCTAATCTGTTCCTCCGTCTTTATCGAAGCAATACTTTCATGATTCTGTCAGCTCACTAAAGCTTTGTGTTCCGGCTTTGGAGTGATCGTTAATTTGTATCGTCACTTCACCTCGCTTTTTATGTACCCTACCGAATGGAAAATATTCCATCCCTTGCATGCTCACTTTTTCGTCCGTGATATCGGAGGATAGACACACTTCATTTGGGACTATAATCTCCACTCAAATCTTCTCGGTTTCTGAAAATCACAGCCGTCAAACACAAAGACTTGATTGTCATGGGGTTTGATGGTAGGGTTGTCGCGAACAAACAAATTACTGTGGTGGTGTGAAGGACTACGCTATGTGATAGTTGACCCTACTGTTACACATAATCTCCGACAGCTTTGTCCTGACTATCACCAACTGGCCAGAGTACTCCGTTGACTTCTATCCCAGCTGATTCTTGCGTGGTTGCTGATCATGTGGCGAGTCCCTTGATGGCCCACCGTTTTTCTTGCTCAACTCTGATTCGAAAATACTGTTAAACTGAAAGTCTCCTATTTGTCAGTAAGGTTTCTTCCGTAACGTGTGCACGATTTAAATCGATCCTTAAAGGAGGTTTATCTTTAGCTACATTTTGTCCTTATACACACGGCACAGTCATCATCTTTTGCTGATGCGCTAAACGATAGCAATTTCGTGTCATACCTGTGCTCAGATTGAAGAGGAATTTTGTAGACTAGTATCTCAACGGCACCTCTTTGCAACTAACTAACAATTTTGCACATGAATACCGTGAAGACCACAGTAATTGTCTGTGAAAAGTTTGAGAACTTATAACAGACCCGAAAAATAAATATTTGGCTCCAATGTTTGCAAGCTTAGGACCACTGCTTGGATA